TGGGAAGAGGAACCAGATTCTTTTCCAGCTTGTGCATCTGAAAAAGGATTATTACCCAAATCAACACATACAATTTCTATCTTTGTGATGCAGGAGCCAAAAAGAACCTGACTCATTTTCTGGAGGCTAGCTGGAAAAATTTTATTTTTATTTATGAAAAGAGCAGATCTGGATTAACAGGAAAGACATAAAGATCTATGTACCACTCTCTAAAAGCCACATTTTAAATTAAAAAAAAAAATCCAACATATTTCCATGGCATTCCTCAAAACATCACTTGAATGCAAAGAAAAGTTAGTAACAGAAGTTTGCTAATAGTGAAAACTACTGACTTTTCCAACACAGGAACACCACCAAAGCTAATACATGCATATTCATCTTGTAGACAGCTGAGCCCAGCAAAGAGCTGTTGCTCCCTGGTCTGCCCTGAGTTGCTCCTCGGGATTTTCCTACTGAGTTGGGTTGTTGCAGCCCTCCCTTCCCTGCCAGAGGCACTGCTTGTGGGCACCACTCCCTAATGCACAAATAAAATGAACCGAGTTATCAAGTCCTGCTGTTTAATGCATTAAAAAGTAATGCGACTCATTGACACGTGGGACTTCTGAAGTACTCGATCACACAGCCAGCTGGGGGCAAGCTGGAGGTGGTGGCCCCCTTCACCCACACAGCTGGATCTGGGAAAGGACATCTGCCCAAGATCGAGTTTAGGATGCTCTACACAGTGGAGCATCTGCCTATACCTATGTGATTCCCAGCCTCTCATGGAAATAGATTTAGAAAGAAAAAAAACCCCTAAGAACCACCACAGGGGTGGCAGTTTTTCAGAGATGCCGATTTCCCAAGGAGGACAGTTTCAGAGAACAGAAACACTAAGGAAGTTGCAGTGAGTTTATACATGATCCACTTATTTAAAACAAATTATCATCAGGGAAAAAAAAAAAAGGCAATATCCCAAGGCAACAGAAAGGAAATCAAGTGTATCAAAGCTATTCCTGAACTCCCATTACCTACCCACTTGGCAACACTGACTTTTAAAATTATACTACACCAATCATTTTTACTCTCGTGATGCAAGGGGAAAAGGAAGAAAAAACTTCCCCATCTTAACCCCCTTTATTAAAATATCTTAAAAACAGATCTGTATTGTTACTTCAAGGTTACTGATGTTAGTACTGTATATATTTATAGATGAGGTATTCCTTTCTGTCTGAAGCACATGAGGTAATAAGTAGCTGGAATTGTCATGGTGATTTATGAACATATTCTTCAGGAGAAGCCCTGCACCTGCGTCTGTGCAGACAGAACACCCACGAAGGCTGAACTCACCCTTACACAGCCCACAAGATCTTAAAAGGAAATGCTCCAAATTTAGACCTGCTCCAACAGGTGTCTTTTACTGTCTCACTTTGCATGACCATAAATATCAGAAGGTGGAGCAAAAAGCTCCCTGTCCATTGTAATCATGCTTTGAAAACAAATACCTTTGCCCCCTCTGAAAGCAAAGGCAGCAGCTATGGAATTCTCATCATTTCCTCACTCCTTCATCCTGCCAAGACCCAAGTCAGAGAGATGTCACCGGCAAAACCAGGCTCCAGGGATGAGCACATAACTTGATTTTTTTTCTCTTCAAAGAGTCCTAAGCTGGCTCCGAAACTTCCCCAAACTGTATTTCTTTCATTCTAGTATCTCATCTTGCAGCTATTTGCCAAAGTGAATGACATGCACAGGCTGTTCATGGCTTTTTATAAGCTCTCATTACCCAAACAGGGAACCATTTCCTTGAAAATGCTTTCCCCAGCAGCATTAGTCTCTCTAGGCACCACCAATAAATTTGTCTTCTGGCCTATCCTGATGCACACCAAAACGTGCCTGGATGGATGTATCTGATGCTGTTTTGAACTTGTTTACTGGAGGGAGGATGCTACCTGTGGGACTTGTCATCAGGGTGATTAACAGCACTGGGGAAAAAAAAAAAAGCATAATTTTAACAGCTGAATGGAAAACTTGGCCAGATTTGCTCTGGCAAGCAGAGGAACAAAATCCAGACTCCTTTCTGTGGTGTAACAAGAAGAGGCATTCTCAAAACCAAAATGGCTATCCACAACTCACAAAACCCCAAAACAAATCAAAACAACAAATCCGGAAAAGAAATCCTACCCAAACTGAGAAAGAGAATAACTTAGGTTACGCACAAACTTAGAAATCCTAGTAAAACGTTTCACTCTGTAACACTTTAGTTATTACAAAATGCCTGAGTCAAGAGCAAATAAATGTTTAATACTCAACAGGTACTCAGGAGAATGTGTGTTTTCCCCTGTCCCTCCCCACCAGCTGCTCTTTTATGGCAGGAAAGTGAAGAGCGTGAAATCCAATGATAGGAAGAAGGCAAAGGTCAGGAAAAAGGTTTTTTTTCAAGGATTTAAATTAGCGTTCTACAGCTTTGGATGTTTTGTCAACACAACTTCCCTCCTGTGAGGAGGGGAAGCCAAGGGTCCTTTGAACCATTCCTGTATGGGATCTAGATTTTTAGCAGTAACAAGATTCCTAGCTTTAAAGAAAAGTTCATCTTCCCTCTTCCCATTCCTTTCACCACTCCCTCCCTGTCCCTCCTTCCACTCCCCTCCTTAGAAAGGGGGAGAAAAAAGAAAATAGAAGAAAAGGATCTGAAGAGCAAAACAAGCACTGAAGGAGTTCTAGAGTTCATGTAACAAGACCACCATGGCCCTTCAAAGGCACCATTAAAAGCAAAACAAACAACAGCAACACCCTCAAGATGTCTATTGTATTTTACAGAGGAAGAAATGAGTGTACTGGAAATTCTCCCATCTTGCCACAAAGTCTGTGATTTCATCAAAACAAAGTCCAGAGATCAAGAAACAGCCAACATGGTAGCTGAGAGTCAGTCACTTCAAGTGATCCATGAAGAAAAACGAGATGGGGCTTGCTCTTTTTTTCCCTTTTCCCCTCTCCTTGCTTTACTATGATGTATTAAAAAAAAAAAAAAAGACTTCAAAGACAATTTTAAGCATCGCTTTTGTTTCTCACATGAGAAAGAAAAGGTTTGAGCAGGTCTAGACAACACAGTGGTTAAAACATCACCAGCTGCCAAGACTTTGTCTTCCTAGAGCTCCCACAGTTGCTGCTACCCTGGAACTGCCTCATTTGAAAATACTTGACAATTTCCATCTCCTATTTTGCTTCCCTCCGAGCTGCTACAAGATGGCAGAGGTAAAACAGAGAGTGCATGAGCACCCACAGGAGCTGCACGTCAGAGGCTCACCCAGGCAGATACTGGCCCAATGCTTCCGCCTGGTGCTCAACAGCACCTTTTTCTTCATTTATTTTTTCTTCTTTTTAACACTTAGCAGATCTCTGTGCTTCTAGACTACCCTGTCATCTGTGGGCTTTACTTGGAGGGTGGTTAACACTTTCTATTAGTTTTGATAGCTGTGGATTTGGAAATGTAAGGCAGCCAGGGAGATATACAGATTTTTATCCCACCTGTACATCACCAACATTACATTTACCAAATCCCACACAGTTATGCTCAAGAAGATCTGCTGAAGACCATGTAACTAACTAAGTGTTCCTGAAGGCAACCTTTTGCCTGCAGGATAAATCCTGATTAATTAGCTATAGGGTAACAGGAATGAGAATCCTCTGGTTAGGTGAACATGTAAAAATCAGAGGTCAACTAAGATCACACATGCTGCAGCAATTTCTTAGTCGTTACATCACAGCCACCCACCACTGCTAGGAGAAAGCCATAAAGACAAGCCTATCGCTAACAGTAGATAAAATATTCCTCCCTACCCCAAAATAGATCTGTTAGTCTTTATTTGCTCAAAAAACACAGAATGTAACAGTGCTGCATTGCCTACACTACACAGATCAGCTGCTGGGTATGTACACAAGGCTCGCCTGCAGCCTGGTCCCTGCCACGTCCAAGAAAAACCCAGGAGAGAGCCAGTGGGAACACACTGGAACGGGCTCTTTCCACCACAGCAGCGAACACATAGCCAACTCCTGACCACCCTCCTTCTAGGGTGACACTTAAACTCGGGCAGAGGAGGAGTCATCTTTCTGTGGGCACACAGCACCTCCCCTGCATCTGGTAGCAGGATGTTTGAGGAAGATTACACCACACTGTGGCCTCAGCACACACCCGAGGCATTTTCACAGAAGAGATTATCTGGGAGCAGACCCCAGATGTCCGTATCCTTGACTTACAAGGTCCACGTGGATGAATGTCCCAGCTCTCAGATGGCTTCCCACAGGTGTTGAATCTCACGGAGCTGAAAGTCTGTCAGCCTGGGACAGACCACAATGGCTGGGTCTGAAGGAGCCAGCAGAGCTCTTCACAGAAAGCGTCAGACAACACATGCCCGAGAAAACTAAAACCATTGCGCAGAAGAGCGTAAGGAGCAGCAAGCCATCCTTCATTCTTCTACTAATGGATATGAATGGATGCTGTGCAGGAAGCTCAGCTAGTCTGGCATACTAAATAAATTCATTCAAGTTCCCAGTGCAGTTTAATGGTGGATATAACATGGATTCTCTAATGAATCTTTTTGGGCCTGGAAACAGCTGAGGTTTTGTGCCTTATATGCACAAGAGTGTTGTGAAATCCTGAGTGCCTTTCTCAGATTCTCTGTAAATCCATCTGGGATGCAGCCAATGAGACTAGCATTTCATTTACGGACATAGGTCTGCCACTTCTGACTCTAATCTGTACCTGGACTATAGCAATACTGCCTTCATTTCAAGGAGTTACCTTTTCACCATTCCTTTTCTTTCCCTGGATTTTTTCCACAGTAAAGGTATCGGACAAATCTATCAACATGTTGTAATGAATAATAAAATACTGCTCCCTGAATATTGCAAAAGCTGCTTTTCCTCTTCCCTTTTCATCCTACTTTGTCTTTAACCATCACTCCTAGTCCACAGTTATTCTCCCCCATCCCAAGTTCAGTTTCTATGACAAGGACTTGTAAGCTTACTTCTGAAGGATGGATCTTTTAATGACAAGTTCTTCATCCAAGTCAGCTTCATTAGCCATGAAGAGCAATCTTTTTCCTGTGTCATCCACTCCAACGAAGTCACGCTGCTCCACTGAAGTGGAAAAATCAAACACAATCATTATATAACACTGATTGAGAGAGGCTCAAAAGACAAATGGGACCACCAACCACCCCCAAAATATGAAATACTAGGTTTCAGACTAACCCAGCAAATCAGTGAATTTGCAAAAAACTTATCCACATTATTTATTAACTTCTTTTCAGTCAGGGTAGTTCATATATATCATGACATTCAAAACACTGGCCCTGCAAGCTTTTTGCATCCTTTTTATGAAGATGCCAACTACAGGTCCTGACATGCAACCCTCCACGTTGAGCTGTGCTCTCCTTTGCTACCTCTTTTTTTTTTTTTAAATAAAAAATAAATCTGCTACCTGAATTTACACAACAAAAAGTTCTTCAAAATCCAACTGCTTCTTCCTCATTGTAAGAATTTGGTGGTCTGGAGAGGATTATGATTTCAGTTAAGACATAACTACTTTGCAACTGATCTATTTCAGATAAATACCGATAGCAATAGAAAACCTAAATCACAAACACATCAAAGTACAGATTCTAACCCTCCTACCACTGATGTTTCTGGGTGGGTTAACTTAGTTTCAATAGCTATTTATAAAACTGCCGACCAAGAGAATGCCTAATAGTCACATATATTATTGTGAGCAATTGCATCTCCCGCAACCAGTGACTGTGCACCAACAGTGACTTCCTTTAGTCTACCGAAACGTAAAGCGTTTATTTTTGAACAGTTTTCCACAACATCTGAACACAGTGGCGGCAGCTTATTCTAACTTGCACTTTGTAGTATGTGCCACCACTCTGGTGGCAACCATACACTGATCTTTACAGCAACACAGGCTGTACAAGAATGCCATGGTACAGTTCTAACAAAAACCTCTTTTCTCCCACTAAATACTATTATTCTGGGCCAAACTGGCAAATACTCAATGTCCTAAATTCTAAGCCTTTAACCACATTGGAGTAACAGCATGCTCTATAAGTAGTTAATTCTCTAAGACCTTTTCTCAGCCAAACTATTTTTAACCCTATTTTCCCCTGTTCAGCCCTAGCCTTTATTTTCCTTTTACTTGTTCCGTCAGAGTTACCATAGCAATAACCACTATCAAAATACAGTCAAATCTATGCAGCTGTTGAAAGTTCTCCTACTGGCAGTCTTTGATCCAAGTGATCAAGCAAACCCTCTTCAGAAATAGCCCCCCCATCCCTTCTCAGAAATTAGTCATAAAACAAAAAAGTACAAAAATAGGCCTGAACATGTAACACTATTACAAATTAAGTACAATTAGGATAAAGCTCACTTGCTGTAAAAACTCAAAAATAAGTCTTGAAAGCAGTTCTGACTCTCAGGCTAAGGAGGGTGATGAAGATTGAGAGCAGGGGCTAACCAACCATCACCACTGCCACCCAACCGGGGTCTCCTGCCAGGCTAGAAACACAACAGCGACAGATTTTCTTCCATCAAGGTACCAACACTTCTCTCAAAGTTCAGGTCGTGGCTGCCCATCTCCTGACCGTTCCCTGCAGCAGCATATTAATCTGCCATCACAAAGCCCTATGCAATAAGAAAGAGGGAAAAAGACAACTTGATGAAAATGGGACCAAGTCCACAACTGCCACCAAACCGGTTTCTCTTGCTTGTCTCACAGTAAGACAGTTAAGCCATGTGAGAGCGCTGTATTTTGCTGAGGCAGATGCCAGGTCAGGTTAGGTTTTTCCCTGTACACTGGCAATAAATAGCATTACGTTTGCAATTCTGAAAAGACTAAAGTCAATTACCCAGAGATACAAGAATGCTGTTTCAAATCACACTGGCATTACTTAGCGAGGAACAAATAAACAGAAGAATGTATACATAACGAGTTTATAAGATTCCTGCAACGAAAGTACCAGAAAAATGTTAAAACTGCAGTGATGGTAACTAAAAAAATCATTTGAAGTATAAAAATAGAATGCAGGATGTGATTTTGCCTCCTCAGGATAGATAAATAAGAATTGGACACAGCTATTGCAATTTATTACCTTAGAAATTAGATCCCCATCAATATTGAGGGCTTTAACGACCTAAAGAACTCATGACATAGGAAGAGAATGGAAATTGAGCAATTCAGTGATGGGAAGAAATAATTTTTTGTCAGATTTTCTAGAACGCTTTTTAATCAAACATAATTAATTGACACTTGAGGAAAAAAAAAAAAAGACACCTTTGTTAAAGATTCAGTATCCCCACCCTTTCAATTAAAGGGAGAAAATTCACACGATGCAGCCTGCAAGACCACCAAGAGGTCTTCTGGCAAACACAGGGAATACCAGTGATGACATGCCTGCTGCTTTCAAGACAAGAAAAACAAGCAGGAAAGAGTCACCATCCCCACTGTTTCTGCCTTTCTTTATACACAGATCAGACACTCCTCTCCACTCAATCCCTTGCAGGTCATCTTTAAGCACATGGCTCCATTCTGGGTGTTCGAATTCCTCACCCTCTGTTTATTTGGGTTACTACCATTCACTAGCACTCTGCTTTATTTTTTTTTTTTTAATTGCCATAATGATCTTACCCATCGATTCACAAAGCCAATGAGACGATTATTGTCAATATACGACCCCCTAAATACAAAAGCCAACAAACTTCACCCTGTAACTTGCAGCTGAGTTATATCAAGCATTTCAGGAAACCATCAGAATTTACAGCTGCTTAACATTGCAATTCATGCTAATTTTAAAGCTGTTCCGTACATCAACAGTTCTTGAGTGTTCAATAATATCCCAAAACCGATGACTTTCTATCAGATACCAAGACATACGCAAAATCAGTCTTGTTGCTCCTTCTAAAAAAATGAATACATTTGTAGGAACAGTGAAACAATAAATAAAGCTGTGAACGTATCCAGTGGCTCGTGAGGACTGAGGGTCCATTTCTTAATGCTAACACTTGAACAGCACAGTTCAAGTACATGGAAACATGGAAGTGTCCCAGTTTAGAGAAGGAGCTAACAGTGCCACATACTATGAAAATCTTCCATGTTAATAGCTTGTCTTCAGTTGCTCATAAGCTTCATCAAATTTCAACTGTTTGGGATGAAATTCCCAATGCCAGCTGCTTGCCCTAAGAGAAGCATTTGGAAAAGAGTTTGTCTGCTTCTACGGCTAAAGAAAAGTGTTTAGCCTAAGCTTAAACAGTTAGCCGGCCATTCCCTTGAAAAGCTCTGGTATTCCAGTTCTTCGGAGAAGCAGCATGACATTCAGTAAACACTGCTGACCTGTGTATCAGGAGTGCACTTTTTTCCATCTCACTCATTATAAATCTTTGAAAAACCGCAGTTTCATGAGCTCTTTCAGGACTTTAATTTGTGCTGCAAAAATTTCTGCGTATTTTATTCTTAAGGAAAGGTTGTTTCAACTCCTCAGCTCCTAGAACTGCTCAAAGACCAGCTGCCATCTAAGGTCTTCTGTACCATCAGGTGGTACAAGCAAAGCACACCAGCCACGAGGCTCCATGGCCACAACGATGACTGCTCCAGGAGAAAGAGCTTGAGCCGTTGAGGTTTTGCAACCTGTTTTTTACCAGGAAATAAAACTCATAAGCTCACAAGGATGAGGGAGAAGAAAAGCATGAAAACAAGGACTCTGCAAGACAGGCTGGAGAGAAAGCAGTCCCTGAAAACTGGTGGACGCTGGGACTGGCTGTGAAAGGACACTGGATCAGAGACAGGAATCAGAGGAGAAAAAAAGAGGTGACTATGGGCAGGTAAATGAAGCAGGTGGAGACGAGAAGTCAGAAGTGGAACAAGGGATGGGACTGGTAGTGAAAGAAAGGAGTAATAAATGAGAGAGAGAAGCTAGACTCTTGACAAGGATCCTTCAAGGAGGAGACTAAGCAAAGAGAACAAGAATGGAAGCTGGTGGGGGCAAAAAACCAGCATGGAAAAGAGACATGGATGAGCTAGGACAACACTGAGAGCAATGGGGTGCATTCAGTCAAGTAGGAATGAAAGGCAGGAGGGTCCAGTGCTCCCTAAAATGTACTGTCCCTCTCCAGAACCTTACTAGAACTATCCATGACAGCTCAAGCAGAAGCTCTGAGTGGGAGACCTTAGAATCCAGCCCGCCAGAAAGACACTGTGGGTGTCAAAACACTACCACATGATGTAATTTTAATGTTGTCAGGTTTGTTTTTTTAAAGACCTGAGAAATACAGAAATTTTAACAAGTCATGTGGGAAGAGGAATCCTACAGTGTCAAGCACACAGACATTAAAAACCGAGCAAATTAAGAATGCATGTGCAAACTGATGTGTTTACATTTATGAAGAGTCTTCATATGATCTTGTTTATCCTCATGGACCTCCTCGCCCACACCCTGCGCGCTCAGAGCTCACGTACTGGGCAGCTCTATGATGTTTAACCATAGACCCATTAGTTTATAACTCCTGAATGCTCAACTCTGTGGCTGCAGTAGTGCTCTTGACAATGTTTTTGGTGTCATTATCACTTAGACTGCTTTTGCAAAACCAGGGGGTTTTAGAGCTGTTTGAGAGTCCAAATCCTAAATGCTTTCAGCCCTATCCTTACACTTTGCTCCAGAAAATCTTTTCACGCAGAGTCTAAGCAGCTTTCTTTTAAAAACACATTTCCTCCACTTTCAGACACACACGTAGTCCAACCGTTGGCTCACGCTTCACTCCTCTCAGTTTGAAGCTACGCTTTCTTATTCGTATTACTGTAATGCCTCTGAGCTTTAATCACGGACCAGGACCCACGAAGCTGGCAATAATCAAACCTCAGCAATTTAACAGATACCATTAAAAGAAAATGAAAGGTATGGTATGGGAACAACAGTATGGTATTTAGTACTTTTAGCATATAAGTAAAACGGGGATAATAGCCCTGCCCTGCCTTACAGCGGTGTTGTGAGAATAGATACATTAAAGATTACAAGGCACTAACTAAGATATTATGGTAAGAGGGACAAGATAAGCATCTAACCAAGTCCTTGAAATCGGTGGGAGTTTTGCTTAGCAAAAGCCTCCTGGATGTGATCTCAGAAGAGTAATTCAGTACTCTTGGGAGGGGAGAGTTTCTAGAAGTATTTGCTACCCACCTAACGCTGGTCCCTACAGTCACTGGTAAAATTCCCAGCTATAGTCTGGCTGATGCTTAGTGCTCTCGAAAAACCTAACGGTTCTAATGTGCATATGTAACAAAAATTTAGGGTTTCATCCAAAACTCACTGAAGTCACCTGGAGCTTTTCCCTTAACTCTTGTGAGCTTTGGATCAGAGCCTGCAAGATTACATGAGTCTCATACTTAATTCTGAGCTGGAAAAAACCTAGTCACACCCCCACCAGGGAATCTGAGCAAAAATAGGGTATCTGTACATTTTTATTTCTTTTGCCCTGGGATTGATAACTAAACATATCATACATACCAGTGGTTTCTCTATAATTTATTAATAAACAAACACACGTATTCCCATCTACATACCTGGCTTTTTTTTCCCTTTTTGCCCTGGTACCACTTCTGTGGGTTCATGAGTTTTCTTCATCAGCATGGAGAGAGTAGCATCATGCGTCCGAAAGAGATCCACAACTTTATACAAGTCAACATCTGTGATCAGATCGCAGCTCAACACCAAGACATCAGTCTGTCAAAGAAAAAAACAAAGACCCAAACCCTTCAGAGTTACATTCAGAGATACAAATTACCACATATGGATCAGCATTTGAAGACTCAACAACAAATACACCTGCAACATTTTTTTCTTTTAGACTTAAAACACGCACGTCTGCCAAAAAGTTACTTGTTTTTACCAGTTCACCTTTCTTGAGTCCTGCTGTTACTGAATTAGTTACTTGGTTAATGCTTGTCCAGCTCTGGACCATAAAGAATGTGACCATCATCTGCTCCTAAAGCAAGGAACAGGGGCACAGCCATGGCTTTCAAGACTGCCATGAAATTCTGCAGCTACTTTTAGTTATATAATGATGCAGAAAAGAAATCTTTCTGAAGAAATCTTTTTTAGCTGACTTTGCATCTGGCTACAAACCACTGGAAAAGATATTTAAACTATGTTATTTTATCATGGGGGAAAAAAAAAAGCAAGGCTATCTAGGATGTGATTTACTCAGTAATTACACTGCGATGGTGGGCTCAGTTTAGAAATACATTTCCTAAAACCAGCAATACCCCATACAAAAAAAAAAAAGGGGGGGGAAGTTGGGTCCTATTTAATAGCAGACTTGTATTTAATTTTGATCTCAAAGGATTCCAAAGTGCCTTACAAACTATTTAAGAGAATTGCTGCATATATCACAGAAACATCGTCACATATTGAGTGAGACATAGCAGCTTCATTAACCACGCACACTATCAATATAGTCTGGCTAAAAACTCTTACTTAGAAATAATTTTCTGTATTTCACATGGGTCGCGGAATGTACTGCCAAAAATCTACTAGTTCGGCAATTATCTTCATTTAAACTAATCCTAACATAATATTTGCACAGCGTGGCCTACAGAAAAGCAGCAAGTTTCCGCTTTATTTTTTGTTAATGATCAACCTTCTAAACGTGTCTCAAGAAGATAGTGTTTCTTTCTTGACATTTACCATTTGCACTTTCTGTGCTACCATTTACGGTGGTAAGCCTCTCTGCAGAGCGTGACATGGCTTCCTAGTCTCATCTTTTTAAAAGACATCATTAAATAAGAAGGGCACTTGAAAATACTTGGCAAAATCTGACTCAATTAACTCATAGAGGATCAGTAATTCTACTTTTAGTTTTGAAAACTATCTTGGTTCAAAGCAACTTGGTTCAACATTGACCTTTTATTACAGAAAGGTTTATTATAGAAAGGTTTGCTTTACGGACCTTAGCAGATTCCACATTGTAGGTGAGACTAACTGAGGTCTGGTATTTACATTATTTGACAGGTTCTCCTACAAATGCTAGGCAGGCTCACGTGTTTATCAATAAGTCATTGGAATCCATCATGTCACAAACTGTTAGAGCTGCTGATTTAGCATGCTGTGCAAAAGGTCAAGCTCTTCCATTTTCATTTGAATTCTCCCCACTTTACTGAGAAACACCTGGCTGCTTTACAGGAAGGAACAATGTGCAGGTTGAGAATTTTACACATGCAAAAACTGACTTGCATCTCCCCTTTTAACGTATTTTCAAAAAATGTGTATTTTATACTATGGTTTTGCCCAGGAGAAGTGCTTTAATTATCACTTCTTTAAAAAAAAAAAAAACAAAACCCCAAACACACACCCAACATGCACACATTTGGAAAAAAAAAAGGCCAGTCAGACCACTACAGCAAGCTGCCCAGCACTCAGGAGCAGCCCTGCTCCAACATTCCACTGTGTGCAAAGAAAGTAAGAAAAAAAATATTCAACTTGGTATGGAAGTAAATCTCGCGCGTCGTAACTAAACGGTGAAGAAACACGTATTAAACATCTTGGAAAATCCTGCAAAATGTTCAGATACTCTGTTTTCACAAGAGCACAATTGAGTTACAGTATCTGCAGCAAAAGGCCAAAAGGTATCCCAGACCCAGATAAACAAACCTGTTCTTTTCAAACTCAGTTTGTAGCAGGAAGAGATCTCCAGCTTCGAATCTAAATGCACTCACTCCAGTGGTGAAAACAAGAAGTAACAAAGACAGACACAGCAATGGACTTATCCTACGGAACAAGTATCTGGACTTGTAAAGCAAACCTTGTAATTATTTCACATTTTACTAAATGCTTTAATCTGTCACTACAGCAAAAACCCAACAAGCGTTTCATAGTTGTGAACAGGCTCCTGGGTTTTTTCTCCTCGCTATAGGACAAGCTTTTTGCAAAAACTGAATGCAAGACCCCTGAGGAGCATATGGGAACAGAACCACCAAATGTCTGGTTGCCATCTGTTCTACCCATTTACTCTCCCAATATGTAAATAAACGTCAGTGAGCGCAGGGACCAGTGAAACACACAGTTGCTCTGTAAAGCCCACATTTCTGCCTCTCCTCCTGATGAGCAGAGCAGCGGCCTCAGAAGCACGCTGAGAATACACCATGAAAGGCTCTTTTGGGACTTGACAACCTCCCCTTTGAAACACCACCCCCCTCATAAATAAAGCCCTCACTGTCTAATGGATGCACTTTTTTTCCAGTGTACAACTCCTGAACGAATAAACTAATGGCTGAATGAAAAAATAAACTATCCTAGAACCCGAGCAGAAGTGCGTGTTTTTCTTTACGTTTTTAGGGTGGGTGCAGAAGAAAGAAAATAAATGGTTGAGCTTGTGGGTTTTTTACATATATACATGCCAAATGAATACAGCGCACCTCTCCCAGTGAGCCACTGATACAAAGACGAGAAGTACGTACTTACTACATGCACTCATGTGCTAACAAGGGGTATGTGAACATACTTGACTTCATGAATTATGCAAGGACCTAAGTACACACACACACACACACATCTCTTAATGAAATACATGTAACAGTGATTACATCAACCCCAAACTATTATACAAACAGCCGATAAGAATCAACATGAACTGATTAAAAAACCCCAGCGAGCACACACCCCAAGCAGAACCACGGCAAAGGAAGAAAATCGCATGCACAAATGCACTCTCACCCCCTCCCATTGCAACCCCGGACAGGAAAAGGCAAGGGTCTTCAGGAGAACCAACTAACGGATGGGGCATGAAATCAATGCTTGGAATTTCTGGCATTTTCCTGCCCTGCCAAACTTGGTATGTGCCATTTTGTTCACTACTTTTATGACAGAGGAGCCCTCGTCATAGACCAGGGCTCTACCGCAGAAGCTTCTGCACAGACTAGGTGGAAATACCCGCAAGCGTAATACAAGCGAACGGCAAATGGCTTTGGGTTGGGGAACGAGGAACCACCACAGCACTACTCAGCTATGGGGACAGTAGCCTTAGCCCTGGTAGCTCATGTCTTTGTGAGCAGCGCAAGAGGCACAGAAAAGTCAAGGAGAATATGACACTCCTTGGAAGAGCCACCTGGGCCTTGGTAATCCCACTTAACCTCAGACTGGCAATTTGCTCACCCAAATTCAGAATTTAGACTTGGCTGCTGATCAGTGGAGACAAGTCCTGCAGAGGTCATCCCACCTGTGATCCAAGTTTCAAGATGTTTCTCTGACCCTGCTGGCCACAGCTGAAGCCCTGGGCTTCCAGTCTAGCCATCAGCAAACACAGACCATTCAGTCAAGTATGGAAACACAGCACTGAAGGCCTCCAGATCTCTGCTCTCCATTTCTATCGCTTGCTAACAGCACTTCACCATCACACGTTCCCGAACTGTGAGATGCTCAGATACTGTGAGGTAACTTACACTCTCAATCTGGATAAATACAGTGTAACATAAAGAGAGTTATGCAAAATAAGAGAAAAAAACCAGTAAATAAAAAAAATCAAAACCAGCATGTCAACAATTATATGAAACCCAGGACAATATGGAAAATCTACACAAAAACAAGACCCAAAAACCAAATGTTTCAAGAGCTCAGTTCAAGACAACCGATTTAAAAATAGAAAACATGTTTTCAATGGAACTAATTCATACCACAGATCAAAAGATGGATGCAATTATATGGTGTAATATACCAGCATAAATAAAAAGCCTTGGATTTCTCACACCCTGCACACAAAGGCAATGCTAAAAACACTTTTATATTCAGCAATAATTGCTGGATCCCTTCTGTTGAAACAGGAGATATCAAGGTTGCCACAGAGAGCTAGCAGCAAGCGATGAATTTTTAGTGGTATTCACAATGCTTTTTCTATCAAGTATAGACAAGGGCAGGACCTCGTATCCTAAACTGCTGAGGGCCTCAAAAACTGCAGACTAGAAAATGAGAAAACATGTGTTGCAAGGAAATCTCTAATTTGAACAAAATCAGCCTCAAGAGAAAGAGGAAAACAAATGTCAGATTGCATTATAAACAGAAAAGAAGTAAAATATCCACGAGCAGTAGAGCCAGCTCCTAACAGAACTGAAGACAGACAAAACATTAAAGTTAAATGCTAGAAGTTTCCAATTGGAGAGTATTACATCTGAGACTCTGACAGGAAAAGACATAAAAAAATCAACAGATTAGATAGCTTAGACTCTGTTCCTGTGCTCAGCCTAACACACGCACAGAGAACTTTGCATCACTTCCTGCGGTATTACCATACAACAGAGGAGAGAGGAACAAGTTATAATTACTGCTGGAATTAAGACTGAGAGTTTTCTACACAATAGCCTGGAACTTCACCCACATGTTGCAGTAACAGTGGGGTTTGTGTGTAATGCTTTCATGATTCAAAAGAGTGGAAAGGGAAAAGAACAGTCGGGCTGTGGGCAAGCATTCTGATTGCTTGTTAGCATGCTCCAGGCAAAGCCAAAGATTCCTCTTAGCAATTGCATTACTCACCACTCTTCAGATCAGAAACTTACATCCAAGGCTTTAGAGAATCCCTTTTTATCTCAGTCTCCATTAAGAGTCCTCCAGTTTCCACACCTGTGACCTCTTTGAAGCTCTGTGCCTGTTGCTATAGCTGGAGCAGGGAAACTCGTTTATTTTTTGATGTCTGTAGGATCCTGTTAGCTACCAACCGAAATGGCTGCCTTTGGCCG